CCTTTCCCCTCCCCCATCCCCATGGACCACAACGCCTGTAGAAAATGTGAAAATTTTTCGCACTACTTCCAAGAGACATGGATGCGGGGGTCCTTCAAAGATCTCTAGTGCAAATGAACCTTGAGGAACTGTGGATGACAAATTTAGCAAAAGCGTTTCATAGGTAATCAATAGCCCCAGAACCTTTTGAGTGTATAATGTATAATTTTTTAGACGGCTTACAGTTCTCATAGATTTGGACCATACGCCCTTATGCGTACTCATTGAAGCTCTCCGCAAGCTCAACTACGAAGCTAGAGCAGCATTAACACGCCTCCAAGAGGTTGCATTTTGATTGTCACCATGCTCATGATCATGCCTTCTCAATTGCATCCAATGCTTTCTCAAACGCTAGCGACGCTTTTACGCTTTTATTGCTTTTGCAGGTTCGATAAGATATACCGCCATGGACTCTCCAGGAAAATGTCTAGATACGTCACCGATAAGGTTTCTTATTGTATCGTCCCTACTGCATGTTATTTCAAAATGTGTAATCATAACAAATAATAATGATGAGAGTCATAAAGATGAAGTTCCCAATTCATAAGTTCGATATCAGTTCTTGGAGAGGTCACCAGCCAATCAATCAAGGAAGGTCACCTCACAGGCGAGTGAGTGGATGTGCGAGGAAGGTGCGAAGTAAGTAGATTTGGAACTAACAGTAAGCACGGTCTCCCAGAAGATGGGGACGTCTAGACGAGCTATACAAAGTGTTTCATTGCGTACGTGTGGGTCCTGGGGCGAATAGCTGACTGCAGTAAGCAAAAATGCTCTTAAAAACTCATTCACTTATCGGCATAAGTTAACAAAAAAAGTAAGCAACAGCAAAAATAGTTAAGTTTTTCCCACCTTATGAGGAATAAAATTATATCAGTGATAACAACAGCAAAAAGAGTAACAGAGAATAAAAGAATAGGAGAAAAACACACTTTATTGCTCAGCGATGCTTCAACCGTGCCCTAGCTGTTGAGTTTTGCGACTCAACGCATCCTGTTACTGTTGGGGCCGTTGGGTAGTTCTAAGGGGAAAACTCAGAAACCGTTTTTATCGTAAACTATGCCTTTCATAGTCCTGTGTTGAACTGTTCTTCGAACTGTCCAAGGCCTTCTTTATGTCGACCGTGGATCACCGCGACACCTTTTACTCTGGCGATAAATTTATGTTCCATGACTGTATTCGTTTCTGTTAGACCCTCTAATGGTGACCACTTAATTGCTTTCCTGTTTTTCTTCGGTTTAATGTTTCTTAGAATACTTGGAGGATGAGGGGCTTTCAGAGTCCTTTTGATAAGCAGGCTCTGTAGCAGTTGTCGTAGACGTCAAAAATTTTATTGATGAAGCACCATAGGGTACTTCTGACAACTAGTTGAAAGATGGCACCTACGCTGTGTTTTGTTTAGCTTGTTTCAGATAATGATGCTGGTGCTCGGAAAAATCTGAGGAGTAGTAGATGGAAATTTTCAGATATTGTTGTTGTATTTACTGAAAGAGGACATTCCGGTGGGTTCATCAAGCTCGGAAAATGCTTTTCTCAGTCACTGTTTATTTTTTCCAGTACATTATCCACTTCCAGTTATCTCTTTCGGAAGCTATTCTCATAAAGAAAGTGTTGCCAGGTTTGAAATGCTGAGTCGAAAGCTTTGTAGAGTAATAAATTAGAGTTCAAACTGCTCATTAGCATTTTTGGTGTTTTCGAGGAACTGCACAAGAAGAGAAGAGGAGAGCGAGAAGACTTCCAAGTAGAGTTTCCGTCGAAGGACTGCCAAAATGACTGTTTCTTATTTATTCGTCTCTTTCTGTCGTATTGCAATTTTACAAGTGATCCAGACAGTTCCATTCCTGAGTGTTGGTAGGATTCGATTCGTTTTTGAACCCATCACGTTATAGATTGTGTTTTCATGTGGAGAGAAAACATGAGCATGAGATTTTTATCGTATCGTTTGAGTATAATACAAATGACTAGAACGCTTGCAGGACTATAATGATAGTCTTCGACAAGTACAATTGCTCCACGACAGCAGTTTGATATCGGAAAAATGGAATTCATGGAGAAAACAAATGAACAAAACAGCAGAAGCGTCGACCATGCACGACTTGAGCACTAAAGTGACCACAAAAAGCGAAGAGTCGAAGACGTTATAGCCAAGCAAAACGGTGGCGATAGTTTAGAATTCTCCTCCTCTGGCGAACGAGGTGCTTCGCATGACGGCTGAGCTAGCAGACTGCATGAGTCCTCCCTGACTTGGTCCAACAGAAGCCGAGGCACGGATCTGGAATGGCCGGGCTATAGTTTATCAACGTGTGTTGGGTTTGAAGTGTTGGATTACCTTGTTTCGCATCTTGCTCAGCGCGTTCTCAGCAATGTCGGCACGTTCTTCAGCGTCATCAAGTTGAGCCTGGAGTTGACGGTACTTGCCAAGGTTGGTAGCGGCAACTTCTTCCTGGAATCAACCATAATTCTTTCCCATCCTCAATTGGAACAAAAGTGATTCTGAACAAGTGTGCGTACCGCTTCTTCGACCTGTCTCTTGAACACCTTGAGCTTAGCCTGGAGTTTGTCGATGAGTTCGGTGAGTCTTTCCTGATTCTTCTTATCTTCTTCCAATTGGAATTCGACTTCCTTGACACGGCGTTCGGATTTGCGCCAGTTTTTGTCCGTATCCTGGTGACGTCTGAAAACAGCTGATTCACAAATGTCGAGCAAAACGTTGGTTGAAGCGGCCTCCGAGTGTGTATTCTTCGACACCGAGTGATTACCTCTGTTCAGCATCAAGTTCCTGTTCGAGGCTGCGAATTCGTTGTTCGAGCTGAGCGATGATTTTCTTGCCTCCCTTGAGAGCAGCAGCTTCAGCTTCATCGAGGCGGATCTAGACACCATTTGTAAGACAAATTACTAGGTGCTCGAAGTTAACGGTGCTGGAACGAGTCGTACCTGCATTTCCTTAATTTGAACCTCAAGTCCTTTGCGAATGCGTTCGACGTGCATGCTGTGTTCTTGTTCTTGGCGAAGTTCTTCGGCAAGGCGGGCAGCGTCGGCAGCAGCCTGAAAGCGGATATTTTTGTTGTTCCGTGGCAGAAGTAGTAGCGGATTTTCAACTCACCTTCTTACCCATCTCGTCAACGTTCTTGAGTTCAGCGAGGGTTTCGTCGAGTTCAGCCTAGAAATTAAAAATTTGATTACTGTCTCTCATCCGATTTCTTCCAGTTTACTCTCTACCCAGGAGTCTCGCCGCAACTCACATGCATGGCCTGCAATTCTCCTTCGAGTTTTCTCTTGACAGCGGTAATTCCATTGAGTTGCGATGAGAGGTCGTTGTTCTGCTCACGGAGCTCGATGCAGTCTCCTTCAGCATTTCTTCGGGCACGTTCTGCGGCTTCAGCCTGAGCCAGATTCCTTATGCTTTTGAATGTAAAGACAAGGGTTTTTTCATAGCAAGACTAACCACTTGCGAGAGCTCTTCCTTTTCGGCCTGAAGAATAGCATTGCGTTTCTCGGAGCTGAGGAACTGCTCTCTGAAATTTCATTTTTCAAGCCACCCGACTATCAGTGTTCGTGGAACCCTTCACCAGTGGCCGGTGTTGCTCACTCACCTGATCTCGTCCTTCTGTCGTTGTTCGTCTTCAACCTGGAGCTGGAGCTCGCGTACAGTTTCCATGTATTTCTTGATCGTCTTCTGGGCATCAGCATTGGCGCGGTTTGCATGGTCCAAGGCAATTTCGAGTTCCTAAATTCGCTTTGAGCTTATGTGTTTTTCCCCTCTGAAAATTTTGAACATACGTTGATGTCGGCTTCGAGTTTCTTCTTGATGCGCAACGCTTCTTCCTTGTGCTTGGTTTCGGCTTCAAGAGTGGCTTGCATGCTTTCAAGTGCGCGTTGGTGGTTCTTTCGGGTGTTTTCGAATTCTTCCTCTTTCTCCTGGATGCGTTTCTCGATCTCAGAACGGATTTGAGAGACTTCGACCTGGGCACGTAGTACTTTAGCCTCTTCGGCTTCAAGGGCTGCCTCAGCCTCGTCAAGAGCCTTTTGCAGTTCTTCCTTTTCTACTTCAAGACGTCGGACCATCTTCTGGAGCTCGTGTACAGAGCTGTAATGGTAAGAGTGTTTTGTTCCAGATGAATTCCTATAGTTACTTCTCTTAAGGAACGTACCGTCCTCCTTCGCCGAGCTGGTCGGCAAGGTCTTTCACCTCCTGAGCAAGTTGCTTGTTCTCGCGGCGTACGCTTTCAAGGTGTTCAGCAAGTTCGTCCTGGGCGGTCTTGGCCTGCAATAATTATGGAAGTGATGAAGGTGGTATTTCCTTGTTTGCTCCGGATTAAGGTGGGCTTTACTCACTCGGAAGAGATCAGTAGAGAGATTGCGGTTGTCTCGCTGGGCGGCATCGAGTTCAGCAGCAAGGTCATCGTGTTTCTTTCTCCATTCATCGATAATCTTGTCGAAGCCTGAAAGTTAAGGATGATTACCGATTTGGTGAAGTCCATCGGGGAGAAGATAATGCCACAAACCCTTCTGTTTCTTCTCAAGGGCGGCAGCGTAGGCAGCGGCGCGTTCGACGTCGACCTGAATTCAGATGATTTTCATCTTTTCTCAATTTGCCCTCGTAGACATTTCCGGTAGATACTACCTGAGCGTCATCGAGATCTTGCATAAGCTTGTGGCGTGTCTTTTCGAGAGTTCCAATCTTGGCAAACGCCATTTCGTTGGCGTCGGTTAGCTCCTGCACTTTGCCTTGCAACTTGCGCCTAAAGCCATCTCTTGTTGCAAACTTTTAAGTCGATGGCATGCACCGTGACGGATCTTTTATGGGTGGACTTACTTGGCTTCCTCGATTTCATCGAGCTTGGCGAGACCCTCGCTTTCGAATCTTGCTTTCCATTGTTGGATTTCGGCGTTTTGTTTGCTTATTTGGCGCAACAATTCAGCCTAAGAAAGGATATTTGCTGTTTATCATCAGAGAAGTTGAATGTTGCACCCGCTTTGTTTTGCCTCTACTCACCTTGGCTTCCGATTCGCTGTCAAGCTGGTCACGAAGGCTGTCATTCTCATGTTCGAAGTTCTTGACTTGTGCAGCCAAAGCCTGGCGTTCGCTATAAAATTTGTATTTGAAAGCAACTCTTCCGATGGCATATCTGTTTTGAAACAGGAAATTACCGTGCTTCCTCATCGTAGCTTCGTTTGGTTTCTTCAAGCTGGCTAGTCAGTTGTGACTTGAGACGGTGTAGGCTATTCAGTTGATTTTCCATGTCTTCCAGTTGACGTCCGAGATCGCTATTTTCATTGTGAAGTCGGTTCTGGAATACGAGCTCGTTCACATTCACTTCCACTTATTGAAATGTCCTTTTAGTGATGGCTAAGCCCTTCAGTTACCTTAAGAGCAGCGAAATCATTAAGCTGTCGTGATTGCTCGTCAGCCTTTGTTTGAGCTTCAGCGTATTGGACTTCGACGACTTTGAGCTGTTTCTCAATGTCTTGTCGTGTTCGGACCTAAATACGTTCATTTCTGTTCTGGACAACTTTCTCGGATACCATTTCTCATACCTCGCTGTCTACCGATGCAGATACTTCCTCTAATTCTCGTTGTAGCTGAGCCTTTTCCTTGTCGGCCTTTACTTTGAGCTTTTGCAGTTGTTCGAGCTGATCTGTGAGTTCGGCTACGGCATCATGGTGCTTTTTGCGAAGGGAGGCCAATGCGGTTTCGTGGTTCAGGTTGGATTCCTGAATGATATTGATGAAGCCGTTCCGATCATACTCAGCTAAAAGCATGTTACCTCTTGATCGCGGCGCAGTTTGGCTAGTTCAGCTTCTCTCTTCTTGTTGGCTTCAAGCTGGGCAGCAGTGGCACCACCTTGTTCTTCAAGTCGCTCACTGATTTCTTCAAGTTCACGCTGCAGTTCGGATCGAGAGCGGTCAGCCTGGAATAATTGAGCATGAGCGAAATATGAAGAGCCCTAGGAGGAAATGCAGACCTTAGCGCGGCTCTGTCTCTCATTTTCAAGTTCCTCCTCGAGTTCAGCAATGCGAGCCTGCAGCTCCTTGATCTGTCTCTGCAGTTTCGCGACAAGGGATTGTTCCTCTTCCAGACGGGTTGAGAGCTGGTGAAGCTCGGCTTCCTTCTTTTTCAGGTTCTGTTCAACATCGTGCTTCTGCTTGGTGATTTCGTCGATATTCTCTTGGGCTACTTTAAGCTCTCCCTCGACCTTTCGTTTGGATCTGAACTTTCAATTTTCTCATAGATTGTCATCTCAAGAGTTTGTAACCACAAAACGATTCCTACTTCTCAAGATCTTGGCGGGCTCGTTTCTCGCGGTCCATCGAGTCTTCTAGGTCATCCAGTTGTTGCTCGAGCTTGGCTCGTACCTTCTCCATGTGGTTTACACGGTCCTCTTCAGCTTGGAGATCTTCCATGAGCTTGCGGTTCACCTACAGTATCGTTCATGTTACTCTGCACAATGAATGAATTCCAGTCAATTTGCTTACTTCTTCCTGGTGCTTCTTCTCCTTGTTGAGACGAGCAACGGCTTCGTCTTGGTTAGCCATTTCATCTTGTAGGGAACGAATGTTATGGTCACGAGCCTGAAATTTGATAAGCTCGATTTCCTGTTAAACGTCCCTGGGGTGATGGCTTGTAGTGTCGTCGCTCACCTGTTTCTCACTCTCAGCCTTCTTGAGGGAGAGCTCGAGGTCTTGGGCATGCTTTTTCGCTTCAGCGATTTCTTGTTCCATTTTCTTTTTCAGACGGCCAAGGTCACTGTTACGATCCTCCATTTCGGCAAGGCGATCCTGCAATAGGGAACGCAATATCAAATGTGATAAGTGATGGCATTCCGTGACGAATTCCAGTGGATCTGTTAAATATTGACATAAAGTGCCCTTAGTATTTCATAGGAATTTCATTTCGAGTTGATCTAATCGATTAGCGCTTTGTATACCTGAACTTCAGCGAGCTGTTTGTCAAGGTCAGCCTTGAGGGCGGCCAGTTTTTGGTTGCGCTCTTCGGCATCTTGCAAGTTTGCCTTCTCCTTTTCCAAGCTCAAGAACAGAGCATTCTTCTCTTCGATGAGGCCAGCAACCTAAAGAAGTAAATAGTAAACTGAAACTGTTGTAGAGAGGAATATCGTTGAAGGCTTTGCGATGTCGTTGAAGGCGACTCGATGACTCACTAAAGGAGTGACTTACCTGGGATTCGAGTTGCTTCCTGTTTTCGTCTCCCTTCTGGATTGTTTCCTCGAGTTCTTTGATCTTTCCAGACAATTTCTCCATTTCTTCTGCTTCTTTTCCGGCTTTGAGCATAGGCTTGACCTGGAACGCAAACCCTGCTGCTGTACTGTGAAATTCAATACTTTGCCCTAAGTTTACTTTTCTATTCAGAATCTTACATGAGTATGACTAGTGCCTACCTTTCCATACAGCTTGAACCATTCCCATGTGCGAAGAGTGCACCACGAGCGGACGTTGCGTTGGACAATGAGCAGTCCTATAAAAACACAGCAGATTTCCTCCAAAGTGCGATTGCGCCATGACATTGAACTTACCTGCTTGTTGCTGTTGTCTTCTCTTGAGATCTGTGAGTCCGAGATACCATCTTAAAAGGAGGGCGTCAATGAAATTGTCGTGCTAGTGGTTTCAGTAAACGTACCTGCATCTGCTTTGGAAGTTGGTCATGATGACCTTGAGAATCTCATCACGATGGTCTTCAAGTCTGGCCAAAATACCGGCTTTGAAGAACACCTGCAATACAATTTTGATGGACTACAGCTGCAAAATTCCGATAACATTGGTACAAGCCTTGGTGTTTCCGATTTTGAATTCCTCATCCTTCAGTTTACCCTCTGTGACTAGCTTGTCTGTAATGGCAACAGATGCGGCTTTGACATCCTCGGCCTTGGCGGCATCAGCAGCGAGAATGGCGTATCTAAATTTAGTCTTTCAGGAGTTTTATCAGGCTAAATCCCTGACACATACCTGTGTTTGAAGTCATCGTAGAGCATTCTGTTCGGGAAACCTTTTCGGCAAATTCTGATACCCTCAAGTACACCGTTGCAAGTCAACTGGTTAAGTACGAGAGCGGAATCGATGAGACCTGAAAGCGGTTACTATGCTAATGTAAGTATTCACTGTTCTCGGGTGACTCAGGATGCTCAACTAACCGGAAGTCTTCTTCTCGTTGGGGATGATGCATCGGATGAAGTGAGGATGAGTCTGGTAAAGCATGTTCATCAGGTTGTTCAGCGATTCACGGTAGATCATGGATACAGTCATGAAGGAGGCAGACTTTCCCTGTAAATCAAAGCGTACAGGAAGCTCTAGTTATTCATAGTGCAGGATGCAGCCCTAACCTTCTTCTTTCCACCTCCTGTTCCACTCTTGGCGGCTTCAGCGGCTTCTTCTTGGGTTTGGTAGTCGGCCCAGATATCGAGCATGAGCTTGCAGCTTGTAGAGTGGGTCTTTAGCAGAGCGACAGCGGTACGAGCATGAGCTTGCAGCTTGTAGAGTGGGTCTTTAGCAGAGCGACAGCGGTATCGTTCAGAGGATCCTAAAATCGAACCCTTCCGGAAGAGCTGCCTGTAGCCAATATGTTAGACTGTACCTTATTCTTTTCAAGGAAGTTTGTAGCGTTGTATCGTACAGTACCAGCGTAGTGGACGACTGCGAAGTGGGCTTCGGACTGAAGTAGGCAATCTTATGTCTTGATATTTGTCGTATTCACCTTCAGTAATCAGTACCTGTTTTCCCTTGGGTGGTCGTGGCTTCTGGAAGTTTGGATGCTTGCCTAGATGTTGGTCGTTCAGCTTTTGCACGTAGGTCATATCGGTGGCTTTTGGAACAATACATTCTTCATCAAGCATGGAGATGAGACCAAGTGGCTGTAAAAGGGACGCAATTCTTTGGTAAGAGTTGTAGGCTGTGGCATCGATAATTAGGTTGTTTACGGGGATCATTCGTGTTTACCTTTTCAATCAGTTCGATACAGGCTTGCAAGTCAAGACCAAAATCGATGAAGGTCCACTGGATGCCTTCACGCTTGTACTCTTCCTGTTCCAGAACGAACATGTGGTGGTTGAAGAACTGTTGCAGGCGTTCGTTTACAAAGTTGATCCATAGCTGTTCGAATGAGTTGAACTGAAATCAATTTCATCAGATGGGTGCGGAATAATGTGTCATCGTTGAAAAATCCCGGTGGAATCTTACATCGAAGATTTCGAAACCAGCAATATCAAGCACACCGATGAAGTAGCGACGCTCGATCTGCTTGGCATCCAGGGTCTTGTTACATCTGGAAATGGATAAGGTTAAAATGATCATAGTCGACTGTACTGAGCGTTCCGCACCTTCCAATTAGCCATTTGAACATACGTGCATAGATAGCCTTTCCGAGACCAGCTACAGCCCAGTGGACCTGAAAGTCATTGCATTATTTGAACCAAAGCAGTCTGGACTCGGCAACCTTCACTTTACTACAAACCTGTTCGAGGTTCTGTCCTTTGTTTACCCATTCAGTACCGACACGAACACGAGGCTTTGTGAGAGATTTCAGAAGTTCCTCATGATTCACACCCAAGCAGTGGGCAACGTTCTGTGCGTCTAGAAAAGACTTCTTGAAGTTTGATCCGAAATATGACTGCAACTGTCGAGACCTACTGGTCTCCTGTCAACGGTGAACATTTTGCGTACCCTCATCTCCGTCAGGTTCGGCCTGCTCTTCTCTTGGTCTCTGTTTGAATTTCATTTCTCCCATGTGCATGATGGCAGCGCAAGATTTGTACAAGTCCATGACTTCGTCGTCTTCAAATCCCATAATGTCGAAGGCTTCCTATAAATATTCCATGGAATCGTCTATATACTGGTTGAGACACTACTCTTTTTGTACCTGTGTAAGACCCATTTCTTCTTTGTCATCGACACCATCAATGGTCAGCTCAGCTTGTGAACAGAAGTGGTAGTATTTGAGATCGTGGGTGAGTTTCAAAGACTCTGAAAACAAATGTTTTAGCTAGATATCGTTCATATCGTGTCCTTAGTGTCCAAATTACCGCGGAGTTTCGGGTTGTGTCCGGACATGATCTGGTAGAAAATGTGGTAACTTCTTTCTCCTGGAGCTTGACGCACCACACGTGACTTTTCGAGCAGGTCTAAAAGCTTTCGATCATTGTGACCAACGGATGCCTATAACCTTGGAACCTACAGTGTTCAATATCTCCTCCTGCTAGTTTTCCTTGTGCTGAGAAGTGGGTACGGATGAATTTACCGAAACGTGAAGAGTTGTTGTTACGTACGGTTTTGGCATTACCTGAAAGTAAAACCCTTCATTTCCAAAAGTATTCCATAAATGGTAGAGAGATTGTCAGAACTAACCGAAAGCCTCAAGTACAGGATTAGTCTGCACAATTTGTTCCTCGAGGGTACCCTGTAAGAATAGGAGTATCATAGGGTTCGTAGATTTTTCAACTAAAGCTTTCGCCCTTTTTCTCTTTTATTTTGCTCACCCCTTTGGTTCCTTCCTTCTTTTCTGCCGCCTGTTGGGTGGCACCAACGATGGCGAAGTACGAGATTACTTTCTTTGTGTTTTCAGTTTTTCCGGCCCCGGATTCTCCGGTAATCAGCATAGACTGGTTCTCACGGTCTGAAAGTATTATAATCAGCATTTGGTACTTTCAAAAAAAAAGGCTCCTTTCCTAGACGCACCTTGGACCATGTTTCTGTAGGCCTCGTCAGATGTGGCAAACAAATGTGGAGGCATTTCATTTCTTCTCTTTCCCATGTAGAATTTGATTACTGATTCTGTGTAGATGGGTAGACGTTTGTAGGGATTGATCACAACACAGAAAAGACCGGAATATGTCTAGAAACAGAATTCGTCATCGACATCGAAATCCACATTGTTGGCGGTGACTTACGTAGATCATCATATCCTTGTATCTGTCTTTGAGATTAGCCAAAACGGAGGCTTCATTCAGGAAGGTCAAGTTCGCCATATCTTCTGTCTTGTCGAACTTGGGAGGGTTCATTTCTTGCGCTTCATCTTTTTTCACTGTCACCTTAAAGGAATCCATCAATTTTCCTGAGCTATCTAGATCGTTTTATTGGGTGCTATGCACTCCCGCACACACTGGTTATGGAAAGGTGGTTGTAGCCCCTATTTGAAACGATATTGCCCCAAGTCAAGATCCCCTGAGTCTTTGGTCTACTGTTACCGCGTTCACACGAAGTCTTTCACTGCAAAGAGGCAAGAGTTTCCCGGGATTATATACAGCCTGCTCAAAGAGACCTATGAAAAGGATCTGTTCGGTTCTGGTTTTGCCCTGAAAGCAACCGGAGCACACAAACGTTGGGTTGCGTGGTGAAAAAGTGCACGATTTCTGTGCTTTCATCACCGCATCTAAAACGTAAACATCATTCACACTGAACAGATGACTTTTTCTGTCCCTCCCCCTCATCAGCTGACAGCTTCTGTTATTTGTTGTTACTAATTGTTGAGGTCAGCTTTTCCCGAGGCGAAAGATCGAAAAGTGCTTACTGAGTTTCCTTTTGCTGTGACGACTGTGACTTGGTCACCTTGTACGGACTGAATTTCAGCGGCAACGAAGCCTGAAAGTAGCGTTCATTAGGTCGGGTCAAGCTCAAGCTNAATCTGCAAATTTGCTACTTTTGATTTGAATGGATCGTCGTGGCTGTGTGCTCTCGGCCAGTTGGTGAGATTACAATGCCAACAGCGCCTACGCGATGTGGTGTACAACGCGGTTTTTATAAGAAGGGGGTAGAGTGCGAGAGGGCGCGTCGGCAGAGCCATTGGTGCTGCTCAGGCTGAAGCGATTATTCTTAGAACGAAAACGATCGACGGATGGCTCGACTCATAAACAGAACGGCGGTCATGATCGCATTCCAGCGCAATGGGTTCTTTCCAAGCGCGTCGATTTCCAGGATTTCGAAAAGCCACAGATCTGGGCAATATTCAGTGGAAATCGCTCTGTTTATCAAGGAATCCCTGTCACTTAGGCCATGGAAAAGCTCAGGGAAGCGTTCGGAGCTTTCAGTCAATCTAATATCCTTCGAATGTGAAGCAAAAGGGTGATTTATCAGAAACAAGTTTAATAAAAGTTGGTAATAACAAAGCTGCAACTCCTCGTGACCATGTGCTCTGTAGGCGATACTGCACAATCAACAGCTTCCTATGTTTTTCGAACGGACGATGAAAAACAGTTGAAGTGCGTCATCGCGCCACCAGTACAATACTGCTGCTTTCCAGACTATTCTCGCAACCTTTTTGAAATTTCCACTTAGAAAGACGGCTGCCCCCAGAATGAATAGTGGCAAAGCGCAGTCAGGGTGACGTTTCTGGAGCTCGTAGGAGAAACCCAATTATCCTATAGGCAACCACTCAGGCCATGAAAAAAAGTACTGCCACCGTGGGTCCAGGTCCTAAGTTCAGCTCTCCATAAATCAAATGTGTAGGCGAATTGAAACAGATGCTGTGAAGAATTTAAAAGACAGGCGTCCTTCGAGTTCCCGGAGACCCATCAATTAGCTCATTCCGAGAAGGCGAGCCACCTATCAGGACTGCATGTTGGATACCGGGATTTAGTACGTTCGAACCAAAACGGAGGAATCTTTACATATAGAGGATTGAATAAGTAGTTAATAGCCTCTTAAGTGAGAGCATACCGTCTTCTGCATCTGGAACCCAGACATTCTTCTTGGAATCGAAAGGCCGATTGGCAGATTCTGCTCGAGCTTCACGGGAAAGACCCAGGTATTGAAACCCTGGGTCTTTTTCAAAGTCGCCGTTCGCCATGGCTGCAACGAAAACTTGTGGCTGTGCACGTAGTAAAGTCTAAGGATGCCACGAATCCGATAACAAATCAAAACATCGATTAGAGAGCACAAAGGAAGACTAGGCAAGGGTTTCCTGTTGTCTTTATAGAAATCTTAACATTTTAGTTCTAAATATTATAAATTTCACTTAAGGAGTACTGAGCCACTTAATAGCTCAATAGAATATAGCTGGAGAATATACAGGAACACCGCAATGCTTGAGAAGTGAATGGAAGACTGAAGTGGTGAAGCTGCTGAGACTTCGGCTCCGGCCCCGGTTATAACTGCTTGCTGACCGGAGGGTGTGAGGAGGGATGTGGGCGATTCGGGGCGGGGCAACTCCGCACCCGTGGGCTGTGATTGCTGGGCATTCTAAATCCGTAATACACTGATACTGAAGTGCACATTGGTACAACAAAAACAACAACATAGCATACCTTCCATACCAGTTTTTTTGTATGGGATAGTTTATTCGGGCTACATTCTTCTGCTAATCCAGCATTTTCTTTTCCATTCTATTAATAGCACCTTTCTAGTTACAAAGGTATTTAGTATGTTTAACATGGCATTTTTATGCCACATTGTTGTAATGAGCAGAGGTCTCTGTGTAAGATTCCTTGATGTTTGTTTAATGCCAATTGCAGCCTTGGGTACTTGGAATTCAGAAATTTTTCATGCAGAATTTCTAAGATGATTTGGTCACCACAAAGATCCTGAAAAATCAGCAGAATCCCCATGGTTTCATGCATCTGGGGCGATTTCGATTGAACATCTCCCTAAAAAGGCTGATCTTGTTTAGCTGGCTTTGTCTCATCATTCTTTCAGTGGTCGGGCTGGAAATTGTTAGTTTCATGAGCCTGTTGGTATTCATATGCGTAGAGATTTCAGATCAGTTAAAGAGTGCTCGCAGGTCGGACAATGCTGTAAAATCAACACTGAATCTCTGCATTTCAATGTGAATTGATGGAAATGATTCGTTGTTTTGGATGAGAATGCGGTTTACCCCTAAATTACACTCGAAACAATCCAACCAATTAAAAAAGCTTCAAGTACGGGAAGGGGACAAGGCCTTGGGCGAAGGTTTGCATCATAGTCGATCCATTAGTCAATGTGATGCAGACCTTCGCTCAATATCCGATTTCGTCTTGCATGGTCAGCCTAACTCCAGGTAAATAACTGCAAATTCGGAAGATCCCAGTTCAAACAACAGAATGGATCCGTATGTTGAAGGAATTTCCATCACAGAAAGGAAAGGTCCCCTGATTGCAGCGAAGTTGACGAAGGAGTGTTACGATTCCAATTAGATTTACTTCTGAAAAAATCATCAGAACCAGTTTCTCGAGAAGAAAAACGAATTTGCACCGAGACTCGTATCCCTGAGCATTTTTTTCTCCCTAGCAAATACCCCATGCTTTCTGAAGTCATTCCGCGCACTTTCGAGGTAACACCACTATCAGGTGGCACTGATTGTGAACGCCGTAAATTTGCTGACAATAAGCAAAGCCAACTTGTTGTCCTCAGCAGACACTCGTAGTTGACCGCGTCAGCGACATATTTTCGATTGTGATCTGGATAAAGTTCTAAGGACCTTTTCTTCAGTCATGTAGATGCTTTTTGATCCTATGCGTGTTTACTAAAAAGCACCCGATCCTTCGTACCAACAGGTTTCATAAACGTGGGTACACTTTTCGAATAATCACCCACATGAAATGCTGGGGTGACTTAACTTCGACGATAACAGGGTAACTGCTTTCCCAAGTAATCTTCAAGCGAATGTTTCGAAGGTTTTGGATCGATCGGCTGGCTTGGTTATGAACACAACTGATGCCGAACCTCTCCTCTTGCGGTAGTCTTCTGTCTCTTTATTTCTCTGAAGAGAAAAGCAAAGCAATGTTGCCGGTGCTCACGTATCATGAATGGCCCAATCAATCTTATTATCCCGAGGCTTGTTAGTTCATACCTGGGAACAACGATCGGGCGTTTTATTCATCGCCACAGCTTGTACGACCATGCCTGCCATTGATCAGAGCTTATCGCCAGTTAACGTGGTGTGATGTTCTGAAGAGGCATGGGGGAAGGTGGCTGTGGCAAGTGGTATCGTAGCCCACACATGATTCAGGATCAAGATTTGTTCTGGCTGACTAAATCCTGAGTCCGCAAGAGTCAAACGGTTAGGAGGAAATCATCGAGTTGGATAGGATACACTGACTAGTATATCGAATCGCCCTTGCGATTCTGATTGGAAGCGCACGATGAAATATGCATAGGAACAGACAGGCTACCGTGGAATCTGTAAACGAACACCAATATGACCGCCGTAAGTTAGAGAACTTGACTTCCTTACAAAGTGTATGGGACAAGGAGGAAGGTATTTGTAACGGAAGCAACCGAGAAAACCCTATTACATACTGGATCACTATTTCATTGCTTGAGCTTGAACTTGACTTATCCTACAAAGTAGTCTTTGAAATTCGCCAATGGTTTAGTAGTTTAGAGACGGAGATTTTCCCCTGAAGTTGAAATAAATCGCGACCTGGTTGGAGAAATTGTGGTGCCGAAAATTTGATGTTAGATTGGGGTTTCTGCTTTTTCAGTACTGCTTTTGACGTCTACCCACCTCACTTTAGGTACTTTTCAGAATGGAACCTTAGGTGTCATTTGGCATGATTCGTTTGGCTTCTTCATTCAGTGTATCTCATTTCTTTAGTTGTAAGTATAAGTAAAATCCCATCCAACATTATTTGAGATAACTGGAATGTAATGAGAAACCCGATCAGTAGTGCTCAAGCAGGCATAGCTCTGTTGCAGAGGACTCGACGCCATTTTCCAATGGTAATAACTTTTCTTCCTAATGATGTAATGGCTCTTTACACTCTCTTCAGGCTATTCGTCGGCTTCAGCCTGATCACTGCAGCTGACAAACAAAATGCAAAATTTCCTCGAATTTCGGAAAGTTACCCGATTTCATCATACCTACCTTAGAACAGTAATCAGTACCCAGTTAGATTCCGATTAAGGAAGCTCACCTATTCAGAACTTTATAAACAACTGAACTGAGGTAGGGCTTCTTAGAATAGTCTAAGTGTTGATATAGAAGCTATCTCGGGATCCAGTTTTCTTAAGAGATTTTCCTGTTGTATTGGTTGGATTCGATCAGGGTTGCATTCATGCGTGATTATTGATAGACACCAAAGCCCATTTCGCTGGGCCTCAGGTTCTCTTGCCATCAGCACGTGCACACAGCTGTAACACTTGTGTTCCAAGAAGGTTGGGGGAGCAGCATATCAACACACCAGCCCAGTGGAATCCATCGACACCGTGTAAAGGGCAAAAAGAAAGCTGACGTTTACGCTTAGCAGCAACAAACCCACGTTTCGGCTCATTGGAAGGGGACGTCGAGCGCTCATAAACATTTACTTGTACGTTTGTGGACGCAGAGATCTGCAGTACCGAGAAAAGGGTAAGAGTATCACAGGAAAGTAGGATTGGCAATGTGAACGGCAGTTCATGATATATCTGATGTCATGGACTTATTGGTTCGCCTATGCCGCTCTGACCTTCCTGAGTGAGGTCTCCTGCGGAGTGAGATGTCAGCCTGTGTCGGTACGATTACTTTTCAGCTTCAAGCTGGCCCAGTCTGCTAGCTGAATACCAGCGATTCTTCTCCACTCGATCCATCCGTCTCATCTGTCTTCTGAGGTATTTGGTCAGGCAATGGTGGTACCAACCATTTTCACCCGATGTGATACGCACTTCCCTGTATAATTGCAACGCCTCTGAAAGCTCGACCGTTTTCAAAAATTAAGCCTTTTNTTTTCAGAGCAAACCCTTCATAAACTCATTAAGTACAACCCTTGATAGCTTCATGGGCCTACTGAGCACCTACATAGTTGGGAGTTTTCGTTTGATTTTCACTGGATCGATTCAACTGGATGTCTCTACCACCCTGTCAGCATTACGGTAGATTCAGTCATTTCACTCTAGTTATGACTTAATGGCCCGTTATCGTGAGTGTACACAAAACAAGTAAATGCTCGTTTTCTTGCGAGCTTATTCAGGCCTATGACTTACCAATTTGAATTTCAGGCGCATTTTTTCATGAAATTCCTTCGTACTTTCACATACTTGAAGACACTTCTGCATTTTTGTACTCAGCATTTAGTAGTACGAGTAGGGTGATACGGTATGGGCTGTTCCAATGAGGTTTGTAGGTTTTGAGGTTGGATGAGAGCTCCACTAGGGTTACCGCTGTCAATCACAATTTCCGCCAACTGAGCGCCTATTCCTCTGCGCTTCCTAAGCGGCCTTCTGGTCGACTCTTTTTCTTGTTTTCTTGTTCGTATAAGAATATACTGGGAACTGTTGTTTCGCAACCAGGTGCTGATGATCACTCCATCAATGAAACTGAAGGTTTTAAGTTGGTTCCTGGTCAAACGTTTTGGCAGAATGCTATGTGCCTGGTGCTCTGCGATTGTGCAGCGGTCCCTCCTTGACAGCCGCCGCGTCGCCCTGAGTATTTCTTGACAGATGTGAGAAACGCTAAAGTTAGAGGCAAAATGGTCCTGGATGCAGCAGTTGCCACACCAGCATTCGAAATGTTCGAGGCCTCGACTGCCGTGGTCGTTCAGTGGTTTCGCAAAGACATCATGAAATATCCTCGGCGTCGGGCTCTAACTTTTTTGTGTACGTCATTTCTAAAATACATACATGTTGTGACAGCATGAGAGGTGGAGTGAACGGAAGTGAATTCTCCGCAAGAAGTAACATACACTACCAAAAAACCGTTTTCCTAGCCAGGAAAAGGTGCAGGTGCTGCTCTGCCATTCTTCCTCTATGCCCGTGTCGAAAGAGTCCAGTTGTACTGGCTAGCGTACAAGGCAGAGGGGAATCGACAAAGGAGCGGCATTGAATAGGGAAGTTCTAGACCCAGAAAATTCCCGAATTTCACCAGACTCTTCAATTAGAAGGCCACCTCATTCC